TTCGAGAGTCTTTCCGCATCCGCCATAAATTTTCTGTAAATTACATTAGTGTTGGGAATGTATTTGATGTAGTTTTATATTGAATTTTTATTAAGTGTAAAGCCTTCTTTCAGTTTAAAAAATTGTGACATTAATGGACGCGCACACACACACACACACACACACACACACCACACACACACACACACACACACACACACACACACACACACACACACACACACACACACACACACACACACACACACACACACACACACACACACACACACACACACACACACACACACACACACACACACACACACACACACACACACACACACACACACACACACACACACACACACACACACACACACAACACACACACACACACTAAGGCTAGCTCCTTATGTTCAGGTACTTTCATCCTAATCTTAGCCGAGTACATTCTTGCACACCGAGTTACCACAAGCTAACTCTTACTCTCCACACCTAAGACCATAGGCTTCTCCTCAGGCCTCGGGTCTTTAAGTACCTCAGCCTTTGCCTCGCTTCTCTGCTATCGCCACACTCACTTTTACTCCATACAACTTAAATAACCGCCCAGTACATTCACGCACGCGTCCGTTCTCGTAGGCCTTTCCTCGTTGACGTCGCTCGGTTTACACGAAACGTCTCTCTCTCTCTCTCTCTCTCTCTCTCTCTCTCTCTCTCTCTCTCTCTCTCTCTCTCTCTCTCTCTCTCTCTCTCTCTCTCTCTCTCTCTCTCTCTCTCTCTCTCCTCTCTCCCCTCTCCCTCTCTCTCTCTCTCTCCCTCTCTCCCTCTCCTCTCTCTTCTCTCTCTCCCTCTCCCTCTCCCTCTCCCTCTCTCCCTCTCCTCTCTCCCTCTCTCCCTCCCGCTCCTTATATGGCGTGTCCACCTTACCAACACCTCGGTTAGATCTGTATAAAGAGACAGACGGCCTACACCATCCTGGCCGGAACGGTTCTCTTTCCATCACCTGTATCTCTCTTCAACCAAATAAACCCGTTGAATCTCTTAAGAAACTCTGCTAAGACGTCTGCTGATCCTTCATCGCTTTCCAAGTTCACAAGTTTCTGCCTGGCGCTGCCTGACTACGCTTTGCCGCAATTCGTCCACGTCACACACACACACACACACACACACACACACACACACACACCACACACACACACACACACACCACACACACACACACACACACACACACACACACACACATACACACACATACACACACACACACACACACACACACACACACACACACACACACACACACACACACACACACACACACACACACACACACACACACTATATATATCTTAAACACAAAAGATTATCCCATTAGAGAAAGCAACCACAATCATGAGCAAAACAATGAACCCCCCCCCAAAAAAAAAAAAAAAAAAAAAATAGATGTATGCCTAACAAGAACTTTACTGAACATACAAGATTAAGATAATGATACTTCCATAAAATAAGACTTGAAGAAAAAAATGGTGCAGACACAAAGTAGAAACAGTTAAACATTTAATACGACAATGTTCAAGATTCGGTTCAAAGAGAACTTATCTACTTAATCTCTTAAAAGTAAATAAAAATCATTAACTCAAATTTAAATCTAAGTATAGGTTAAGATATACAGTCAACAATAACATTTTGAGAGATGTGAAGATATTTATACAAAGAACATACAATTGATTACAAATAAGCAACAAAGAAAAACTGAATAAAATTGATCAAGTATCATAGTCTATAACCCCATAAACGTAGAAAGAAATCCTGTTCATTATACATACTACAGTTTTGATGTTATTCAAGTCTTGTCATCAGCACTATTTGAGAATGACCTACTTGCGTGAACTTCAATTATCATTCAAAAATAAGAAAAAAGTCAGTACGTGATTATTTACAGTGGTTATCACTTCTATGCGATTTCAGTTCATAAGTTACCTTAAAAGAAGAATGCAAAGAAATCAGAATTTTCCTTTTTAGGTTTTCAAAAATGTACCAAAAATATATGGGATTAAAAAGCGCTGACTTAACTTACTGCGCATATTTTATAGCGTACATATGCATAAACACAATTATTGCTAGTCTCAGGCCACTTGTATTAATGTTTTCTAGCATCTGCTTATGCTTACATTTGCATACATGTCTATGTAGGTGTACATGTAAAATTGCGTACATATGTTTACACATATGTGCACATGTATATATAAACATGTGTACACATGCAAACGTGTGCACATGTATATATACATGTACTTGTGCACATGCGTACACATGCAAACGTGTGTACATGCGGACACGTGTGCAGAGGTGTGCAGAGATAACGAGGAACGGTTAGAGTTACAAGCGGTTCGTAGTTACCGAGTAACCTTGAATCGTTTTATTTGTTGGAATTAACCGCTAGAAGACGTTGATATCTAGAAATATAAACTCACCACTGTCTGTTTCCCAAGGACATTTCTTTTCATAATGTAATTACACAAACTGATTAATTATAGGCCTTTATCATACGAGTTTGTAGAGGTATTTGACATTTTATGTGGGAGTTTTAGCCTTTACATGCTTCAGTCGTTTACATTTAGTATAAAGTAGCTACATCATTACTATATGGGGTTTATGGATAGTCTGGGCTCTAATTAACACAAAAAACGTAAAATCTCTGCTATGCGTAAGTCGAACCGGGTGGCGACAGCAGGAAAAATCTCGCCTGGCTAATCGTGCGGCCCCAGGACCCTGCGGTAGAAATAAATTTAGCTAAGGAAAGGGGGTAAAAAATATATAAAGTGTAAGGGCTAGTAAGAGAAGGAAGGAAGTATAAGTTGGAGAAACTTCTTGCATTATTTCTTGCCTATGGCACGACTGTGGCTGGAGGTGGTGTTTATTTACGTTCGAGGAGGAAGGCCTACCGCGAGCGTGATTGGTATAACGTGGCCGATATACCGTCAGAGTGCAGACAGTCGTGTCTGGCAGGAACAGGTGAACTTGGTGGTGGAGTGGAATCAGCAGACGTCTTGGTAACTTACAGGTGGTGGACAGAGCTTCGATCCGACTAGGTTACTATGGGCTGTCTGCCTGTCGCTCGCAGGCGACCCTCTTTATACAGATCTAATCGAGAAGTTGGTAAGGTAATCGCGCCTTATGAGGTGCTAGTCGAGAGAAGAGAATGTTTGTGTAAACAGTGCTTCACAAGGCGGAAGGCCTACGGAATGTCGCATCCGGTGATATGTTGGAGGAAAGCTTGGTACGTATGGACAAGTATCATTGTATAGGGTATGTGTAAAATATACATAGTATATTATATGTGCGGCAACAGTAGAAGGAGAAAGGGTGCCACTCGAGTGTTTAGACACTTGTGAAGGAGGAGAAGGCTTAGCACAAGGGATAACAGTTGAGCAGTTTAGACGTCACGTGGTGGTAAAGCCTCGCAGGTTCGACGCCAATCATCTCATTCTGGCATGTAGAGCTTAAGGATCCCCTATTCTCTCCCGTTTTCGCTCGCTCGACCATCAGGCGCGCGCAAAGCCGCAATGCCCTGTAACTGTTCAGTAGTTGGATGCAGATCTGTGGACCGCCCTAAAGATGTTCTTTATCGCCGATTTCCAAAGGAGGGAGCAAGAAAAGAGTGGGTAATTTTATGTGAAAAGAAAAAGGTCAACTGTGAAGAATTTGCAGCATCCATTTTGAGAACGCAGACTACGAAAGAAGGCTGAATTATGAAATGCTACTTTTGGCAGTTCCTCGACGCTTGAGAACCCTGTAGAAGGATGTTATGCCATCGAAACATATTCCAAAAGTTAATTAAAGGTAACTGTCATAATAGAAATTATTGTTATAGAAAAAATGGAGTTGGAATTTATAGAAAAAAATCACGCGTTGGAATGGGGATATGGTATTATTGTTATTATCATTATCATTATTGTTATTATTATTCATTATCATTATTGTTATCATTATTACCATCATCACCATTATTATGGTTATAATGATAATGATAATAATAATAATAATAATAGTAATGATGATATCAGTAATATTAATGGTAACAATAGTAATAATCATTGTGATAATGATAGTACTAATGAAATAACAATAACTATGGTAGTAATGACAATAACAGTAATAATAAATATAATAACAGTAATAATAAATGTAATAACAGTAATGATAAATAATAACAGTAATTATAATGATAATAATAATGATGATAACAATGATAGTGTTGATAGTACTGATAATAAGGATTATATTAAAATTGCGATAATGGTAATATTAATGACAATGATAATCATAAGAATAATAATTATAATAGTTATAATAATGATAATAACAATGGTAATAAAAGTACTTGTAATGAATACTTATATTGACCTTGCTTTTACGTTCCAAAACGAATGTGAAAATGAGTGTAAGTGGTACTGTTATGTAAAATTACCGCGCAAGCATTTTTTTTATATATTTTTTTGCTGAATAAATATAATGAGACAAGCGTCTTGTTTTCTAAATTTCGTCCGAATGCTCTAGCATTTTGGAACTGTCTTCGTAAATAGTAAATGACTAGTATTTCTGACTTTATGGTTTTATATTTGGGTTATATTCTACATCATTCCCAACCTATGAATTTCCTGCTATGATTTGGTTTTGGCGCAAGCGTACCTTTTATACTTACAAGAGTTCTAGCAAAGACAAATGTATTTTTTGGTGCTAGCTAGGTTTCGTGTGTTCATTCAAGAAGACCTTAGCGTCAGATCGCCGTTGTTATAGCAACGTGACATGCCGTTACTACATGAATACCTATGATGAATAAATTTTCGACAGTAAATAGTCTTTCTTTTGGCACCTAATTGATTATCTTTAACCATTATCAAAAGCCCAAATAGTAGTTTTTAAGAAATAGCAGGAAAATCTGCACCATTTTGCTTTCTGGCAACTCCAATGTAAACAAGTGTCCTCAGGTCATACGGCTGTCAGTGGCTAGCTCACGTTGTTCCCCGTACAACACTTGTAGCGAAGCTTTCGAAACGGCTCTTTTTTGTAGTCTTCGGTCGGTCAGGGCGCGATACTACTGCCATTTCTTTTAAAGCTAATAAGTTGACATACTCAACTTTTTAACGAGTATCATGAATGGACAGCGTAAAGTAATGGTGATGGTATGTTGCCTCTTGTTCTTGTTATTGTTGGTATTCCCTTGCACCTTATATTTAGCAGGATGGATGTTGCATTGGTTCCATACTGGACCATGATGTAGACCAAAGAGGTCAGGATTGTCAGATTATGAATGAACGTTTGTTAATGTTCTTACATCTACTTGGGCCCAGGGCTGTACTCTTATCCTTTGCTCATTCATTAGCATTTCCAATGGATTATTGTTCAACTTTGTGATTGCCTATGATCGCATGTGTTTTCTTTATTTACTTTGTTGAGAGGGTAAACAAGGGTAAAATCTCAAAACACAGTGCTAATACTTTTGCATGTAATACAGAAAGGTTTGCTCTATTTAATGAAAAAGGAAATATGCAAATCAGATTTGGGTTAATCACAGGGCTGTTGCAAAAGCGGTGTAGAAGAGGGGTATAAATTTGCTTACAAAAAGATGCCATTAAAAATTAGTTGTAGGGATATGTTACTGAGAGCGACGCACAGAGATGGAGGGAAATAGACCCCACCATCTTACACACAAGGAATCTACTTGTAAATAACACATCTACAGTTGCAGTGGCCTCGTATTTACAGTGAAAGGATAAAAATATCACTGTTCAGAGACTAAGTCCATAACACCCTCACTCAGCCAGAGTTCTTCACGTCTGTTTTCTTTAAGTTAGTGGGAATTGTTTGACAAAGTCTCAAAACCAGGGTATTATGTGAACCCAAACACCCAACCTAACCTTTCCTAACTTCTATATATTCCCTATTAATTATCACTTTCTGTCAGTTTATTGAAAATGAACATAAAGAATTCTGGTTATATGAGGGTGTTGTGGATTTAGTCTCTCAGCAGTGTTGTACAGCAGACATTTTTGCTGCAGCTTAAACTATGTTTCTCCTTACTCTTTCTTATGGTCTATAAGATGGTGGTGTCCATATCCTTCAATCTCTGGGGGGCTGGTTGGTTTTTACGATAAAGACACAATAAGGTACAGGAAATTGAAGATGATATTCTTGTAGAGAATAAAAAGTTCTAGTCGTTGATACAAGAACTACTCTGCAAACACAAACAATAATGCCTCAAATATAGGAAAGAGCAGCAGAAAGTGCCACTAACAGCCTAAGTCCACTTGGTCCTTCCAAGTTTCAGCACTGTCTTGCAGTGCATACTAGATAAAGGCAATGTTTCGTAGGGGAATGTTAGGGGACAGAGCCCCCCCATCAACCTGCCCTGCACTCCTAATCTCGGCAACTTAGGTTGTCAAATAAATTTGCTGACATGGAGTTGAGGCCTTAGTCATAACACCTATTTTAAGCACAGATTTATAGAATATGTCATAGACTGTCATTTTGTTTTCATGATAGCAGACAAATATCCTTGGAATTACAAGCCAACCTGAGCCAGGGATACTACTATTTCAACAATGATATTTGGGCATTGTTAGGGTAAACCCACCATGTACTTGAAATTGTATTTTATTTCTGCCTCTATTTGATAGTCATTCAAACATGAAGAATTTTTCTTGGTTGATATTTATAGATGGATGCACTAAACCAGGTCAAATGAATTATATTCTTGTAGAGAACATAAGGTTGCAGTTGTCAGTACAAAAACTAATCTGCAGATAGAACAATAAGACTTCACATAAAGAAAATTATCACAGAAAGCACCACTCACTGCTTAAGTCTAGTCGATCCCTCCTTTTGGGCAGAGTCCAAAGAACATGTCTAGTCACCGCAACTTGGATTTTGAATAAATTCTGTGATGAGGAGTTGGGGACTCACGGTTGTATGCTTAAAGAAATTGTGGAATCCACTCTTCTAAGCGCAAAATCCTATACTAAAGAATAATACCCCAAAAAATCAACTGGTATACCGAAGTAAGGCAAGAGGATAAGAACATTGTATTTTTCAAACTGAGTGTCATAAAGTTAAGGTAGGACCCTACAAACGTGAAGAATCTAGCATAAGAATATTTTGTCAAGAACTGATTTGCATTACACAATTTCTGTAAGCATACGGTCATTAGTGTCAGGTGATAGTTAGAGTATGTGGTGGGTAAATTCTGTATGAATTAAGGCTTGGACATGTGATTAGTGCTAATTTTGTATTAGTGAACATTACTGCTTCTATTATTTTGTTGTTTTATGTATGTATTATGCCTTGCTTTATATTCCATAATTCAGCTTTTAAAATTTCTGTTTATGGTGGAAGTATCCAGGAAGTAGTGAGATTGTTATTTCTTTTATAGACTGTGGCTGATGTTTTGTATTTTTGACTCATCTGTGTGGGTTTGGGTGTGGGTTCACGCACGCATGCGCGCGCGCGCGCACACACACACACACACACACACACACATCACACACACACACACACACACACACACACACACACACACACACACACACACACACACACACACACAAAATTCATAGTCAGCAAGGAAATAATAGCAAGACCTATCTGAGTTGAATTTACCCAATCTAGCAGCTGACTCAGCAGTCAAAGGTACCCTTTGTTTGAATGACAACTGCTAATTTTCACTCAGTTGCAGTGGTCTCCAGACAGAAACTCAATCATGTGTTTATTTGATATGTTATATAAGATAAGGCTTTTGGAAAGTGGAGGAGGAGAAGAAAGAGGCAAGAAATTTACAGAAGTATGTGGAGGTCGTTGTAGCATATAGTTGTTTACCAGGTTAAGTAGATGTAATTTTTTGGGTGAATGAAAATGTTTTGTTTTATTTTGTTTTGTGTCCTGAATTTGGTATAATCAAATTATTAACATATGTGCTAAAATATAAAAAAAGTCGCCTCTAAAATGTTTGTTTACATACCATAAACAAATGCCAATGTAGTTTTAATCATTTTCATTTAAAGATATACTTCAATGAATATCTTAAAGAATGGGCTTTATTTAAAAGAAAATATAAGACAAATAAGCAAAATGTTGGATGAGTTACCCTTTGATATTTTTAATGATTAAAAATGATTGAAAGTCACTGGGAATCAAGACATCTTAATTTTGGCCTGCTGTTCATGGTACCACAGGGTAAACATACCTGAAATAATGCACATGCTTAGACCTTTGTTCCCCAGAGATTTAAAGTTTAAGACAGAGTATAGAGAAACATAACTCAATGATAGATTAGCAATGAGGTAACTTCCTTATGGCAAAATTGCTTATAATAAGTCTACCCCTCAAATATTGGGTATATTGATATTATCAGTATTGTGGTGGACCTCAGAAACTCAACAGGTCACAAATTAATTGAGCATATTTAAAAACAAATGTATTTCGGATTGTGTTGTAAGTAGATTTGATTAAATTATCTTTACCTCTGAGTCATCTTACCTTCCCTTATTTTACAGGTAGGGTACGAGATCGGCTTGTGATACTCAACCCAGCTGTGAGGAAGGTTGAAAAGAAGAAGAATAATGCAATATACAAAAGGATAAAAGCAAATTCTCTTTTATACATGAGGAAACCAGGTACACAATATTTGCTTATCCCCTTTGTTTCATAATTATTATAAGACTGAATAAATAAAGTATATTTGGTAGGAGACTAACATTGAAAGGTCTCTAAAATTAACCTTCATGCAATGGCTGACAATCACTTGCTGCTTTATCCGTTATTGTCATGGGGTAGGCTTAGAAGACAATACTGAGGTCCAGTATAGGGGATCACCCCTACTTAGGACCTCAGCACTCACCTCAACTAATTTGGCATGTTCTTTTCCTCTCCCGCTTTCCTTTTCCTTCTCTTCTTCGACCCCATCTGTCCATTTCTTGAGTGTAAGAGCCGTGCTGAAGGGATGAAAGCTGGCTTTTTGTGAGTCCTGAATGGCATTTGGGAGCCGTGGGCACAGTATGCCTTTGGTTGATAGCCTCGTCCTTATCCGTTATGGAGACCCTTAGGGGTAGACCATTTCTTTTTCTCATTTATTTCAGGCTCACCATGGCAAATAATGAAGATTATTACCTTCATTAGGGGCATTAAGGCTAGCCTTTCTTTTGACCACAGCTCTGACCACTGAGACTAATACATCCTCTTTAATGTTTACTATCAACTATGTTCATTTCAAATTTTCCACTCAGATTATTACTCAACCTTCAGAATACACCCCTCCCTCTCACCCAACTTCCTCCACTCCATCTCCTATTGCACAGTGTTCCCCCCCCCCCCCATCATTTATTACTACTCATCCTTATTGCCCTTGCTTCACACCACCCCACTTCCTCCCATCCTCAGCCTTCTACTGCTTCCACCTCTGCAAATCTTTTGAATACTCTTTTGGGACCAACCAAGTGGGATCAATTCATTGTGAAGCCCCCTGCAGCCCCTTACTCAGACAATACCCTTCTATTCCAACAATGTCTCCAAAAACAAGCAGGCAAAGTTTCCTTTCACAGTCGTTCAGATCATTCACACCTTGTAACTGTTACTTTTGAGTCTCAAGCTCTTGCAGTATCTATCCTGACTGACCTTACTGGCAAACCTATTCCTACCAACCCATACTCCTCCCTTCATATGTGTACCAGAACTGATTGTCCTGTCTACAACGACAACTGGTCAGACTGTGAAAACAACCGAGTTGCCTGCCTCATTGATGATGATACAGTGGCAGTACAGTGGTACATTATATCTCCCAGAGGTCATCGTAAGTCCTACACCAATCTTGCTAAGATTAGCTTGCATCCCCATGTAGTTTATATTGATGGTGCCAGTGTCCATGTCAGAAATGGCATTTTTGCCACCCAGCCAAAAAACTGTCACCCCACAGCTCACTCCCCTCTATATCCCAACCTGGTCATAACTGTACCAAATTGCTCTGCTCAGTCAAGCATTTGTGCCAATTGTGGTGGCTCCCATAATGTATTTCATAGGAGCTGCCCTACCTACAAGCTTGAATCTGTGGTAGCAGTTCTCAGATTCAATGTAGGCCTCACATAGAGTGAGGCCAGACAGGAAGCACACCAACAAGATTTTTCTCTTTCGGCCTATTCCAAAACAGTACTTCGCTTTGTTTCCCTATCATCTTCTCAAGAAAACTCAGTAACTCCCCCAGCATCTCTGCCCTCTACCTTGAACCATCCTATCTCCACTCCCTCTCTTCCCCAGTCAAATTCCTTTTCTAGTCTCTGGATACTCCAGTCTCTACCACTTCCACGATGCTTATCCTTCCACCTCTCACTACCTATCACTCCAGGCAATTCAAACATTCTACACCATCTTCTACCACATCCTCTCCTCCACCCATCTCTCCCCCTTGCTCCTTGGATATCAATTTCCTCTTTTCACAAGAAACACTTTGTTTCTCAGACCTCCCCATCCAGCTCCCCTCCAGAAACTAAAAACATCATCCACCCTCCATTTCCTCTATTCCTATTTCCTTTACATTCAAAGTATTTGCCAATATCTATCCTCCTCCTCCTCAAATTTCTCCTACTCCTCTTCCTCCCACTCTCCTCCAAAACACCTTATCATTTCTTACCCCATATATTTTCCTTTCCATTCCCTCTCCTTTCTCCATCATCCTTACCACTCGCCTACTTGCCCACATAACTCTCTTATGTTGTTCCTGATACTTTACCACCTTTCCCTGTCCCCTTGTCTCAGTCTCTGGATTCTTCTCCAGTATCTCCAACTACCATTTTTACCAGCATTAAATGATGTTTGGTTCACAGTGACTTTTGAATTTTTCCTCATACAATTTACTCTCCCTTTTTCAGACATAAATACCCATCATTTGATCTCAATTGCCCTATTCTCTTAACCCCTTCCCCTTTACATATCCCCACCGTACTTCATTTACTCTGCACTCTCTACCCGTTTCACTACCATTCTATCCTACAGTGCTCTACAAGTTTTGACATCAAACACATCTTATCCTGATCATTAACTAATTTTTACCCTTATCACCCCAATCCTTGACCATAGTGCTATGTGACCTTGGATGTCTAGCACATTTATTAGTTTAAACCATCAACCATTGTTAGGCTTGCTGTGGTCATTAAGGAGAAACTGCCCCATTTAGCCTCATTATCTAAACAGTCATTTATGCCTCGTTCAAGAGTGCAGAGAGAAGGGAAGATCTATTTTCCCACTTCCAGTTTTTCCCTCAAGCTAGTACTAGGAACTGCCATTATGTGTGGCTTGAATTTGAGTTATTAATATGATACTTTAGAAGTAATTATTATTATTTTTTTTTTTTCAGAATTATTAGATGTCCTGCTTGAAGGTAATGCAAAGCTAGACACCTGGTTGAGAAAAGAAACTAATTGTAAGGAAGACGTGACATCAGATCAAGCTGTTGACGCTGCAATTAATGCCAATAATGATATTGTCTCTGCATCTAGTATTGCAAGTTTATTACCAGAGGTACATGTAGGACAAGAAACTGTAAATGCCTCTTCACAGATACTTTTAGAGCTTGATGAAAACAGACAAGGAGACATGTCATGTGAACAGACCAACACATACAGTACAAACAGTGAATCTCTAACCAGTGTTCCTTATAAAGAAAAGAAGACTGAAGGAAAAAAGAAAATACATGTAAAATGTAAGCGTATTTACATACGCAAAATAAATACCTGTGTAGTTATAGAAGACACAGTTAAACCAGTTACTAGTCACAAAGTCACAAATACAGATCTTGGAGGGCAGTCTGTGTCATTTGTACAAGATGTTAATCAGAATGATAAACTAGCTGAAAGTCTACAGGGAATAGTGACAAGTTGTGGCAATGTTCATATCCCAGATAGACCTGGAAACCACATATCAGGGGATAGCACTGCAAATTGTGCCATCAATACTGACACTGTTACCAAAATGCAGTATTATTCAGATGAAGGCAGAAAAAGATGTCACACTAAAGAGAATAACCATAGTAAAGATGATATCAACACAGACAATGTTATCTTTTCGCAGACACAGGATAGTCAATTACCAGTGATTACAAGCGTGGTATCTATTGCTGGAAGCATAATGGATGAAATGTGCTCAGAAGAAGATAATAGAGAAAATGAGATGAGGAAGGACATAGATGAAGGAAAGATACAAGAGAAGAAAAAAAGTAATTTAAAAAGGTTTCATGACTCTAGCCAAACAACTGTTAATTCAGACAGTAAATCCCAAGCAGATGGTCACCCAAAAAGAAGGAAAAATGCGGTGAATGAAGTAGAGAATACTGTTAAAAGTATGTTAAGTGAAGCAGTTCCTGGTTCTCAAGTAAAAAAAATGGCTTCTGTTATGCCAGAATTATCAGGATGTATTAAAAACTGGCAGAAGGTGTTTCCATGGGTGACATATTGTTGTGAAAAGCAGACACTTATATGTGAAAATTGTAAATGGGGAAGCACAGATCCTGTTCAGTTTGAGGTGTTTGTATTAACTAACCCAAGTAAAGTGTTTCAGACAGCTAAAATGTTGCGTTGCCATGATGAATCTCCGAAACACAGGGAGCTTGTGGTGAAGAAACTGCAGATACAAAAATTGTTTAGGCATATTTATTCATTGTTAAAAGGTAATATGAAGGAAGTTTCAGGACTGGAAGGCATAACAGAAAGGATATCATATTTAGAAGGAGGTATATTTCCAGGGCCTCAAAAGTCTCCTGAAAAAGAATATATAGTTTCATATATGGTGAAGCACATAGCCATTTGCTTGCAAAATAGACAACTGGAATCTCTAGAAAAGTCACCATATTTTAGTGTACTTGCTTTTGAAAAAAATAGTCTAGCCATTATGAGATGGATTAACCAGAGTGGAGAGAGTGAAGAACACTTACTTTGTTTCTGTGGAAAATCACAAAACGAGGAATTAACTTTAAAGCAATATTTAAAGTACAAACAGGTAGATCTTCAGAAAATGTCATTCTGTGCAGACATCCCCCATATGAGAAACATAGGATCCCTGGACACACTTGCATTGCCAGCTCGTTTACCTTCTCTGAAAAAGTGTTTGTCCTGGTTAGAAGACAAGGGTACTTTTAAAGATCTGTTTCATTATCTTGAAACATTTACAAAGTTATGCAAAGCATCTCAATTTATGTTTGCCAACTTTCCTGAAACAGAGGAAATATTACAACTAGAAGAACCTTATGGTCATAATTGCTTAAAGAGTGCAAGTATTCTTAATTTTTTTTCAAAAAACTTTTTAAAGCTACAGGAAATTGCTTATACAATATATAAGGAGACCGGTAGTTTAGAAGCTTTGGAATTTAGCTCACTGGATATAACACATCAGTCTGCATTCAAGATTGCAGAAGCAGTATTTCCTAGGTTACATTCAGTATTTGCCAAAAAAGAGCACAATCAGTCTTCTATTACTGAAATTACAGCATTGAGAAAATTTGTTGCATCCATGTTCAAGCATATGGATGATCAGGAGTCTGAAGACCTAGGTATTTTGAGCATTATAGATATATTTTTGTCATATGCACTTTTAAGTTTGCAGTCATATTTGGAAGAAACTATGATTTTTTTTACAATGAGATTACAACAGGTTACAACTTTTACAATGGAAAAAGTATTTGAGAAATTTATGAAGGAATTTAAAGGAAGAAGCTGTGAATTGTTACAAGACATACATGCTGTAAGAACATTACTAGGGAAAAAGAAAAGTTGTACTGTACTTGATCTATTAGAAGCATTTGGGGAAAAGCCAGATATGTGTGATGCTTACCCTAAACTTCATGAAGTTTACTTGAAAGTGAAAGTTTTGCCATTCACAAATGCCAAAGTAGAACTTAGTATGTTTGATGTTGCATTAGCATATGGAACATTAATTGGTAATTTTTCTGGACCATTAGTGATGGCCATGGCATATATTTCCATTGAAGGACCTTCACCTAAAGACATAGATGAAGATTACATTATGAGAGAATGGTCAGATAAATGGAAAGCAAGTAGATATAGTCTCAAGTAAACAGTAGATCTAGGTTTATGATCATGTGTGTAAGAAAATTGATACATTTTATCTTGTAATTTTCTTTACTACCAAAATGCATTCTGTTCTATCTGCGTAAGGCATATTCTAGGGTAATAGAATCTGAGACAGTTTGTTTTCTTATATTTTTAGTCTAATATGATTTTCTCTCTATAATATTGTTAAAGCTTTTGATATTATTTTAAGCTTTAAGAGAGACTGAAAGCTGCCAAATAAGGCTTAAATGCTTAAAAAAAAAAAAAATGATATTGATTGATTTACTGGTCAACTTTATCTATGCAGTTGAATATTATCAGGTTTTATAAATGTTACAATATATACTTCATTAAACATACAGTGGTAAAATATCTAATAAATGTAAGTTTCTCTAATCAAAAGCAAAGCACTGCCTATTGACAGATATTTTGATCACTTAAATCATGGTTACTGAGTGTATATGCATCACTTCTTCATATTATTACTGAATCGAGCAGTCCCCAAGCAGTGGGCTTTGACCCCTATAGCACTTTTGTGTCCACATGGAAGACTGGGCATGGGTATCTAAATATTTTACCCATTGTTTTCCACATGTGATGACATCTATACGTGTGCTTTCCTCTCGCCTAAACGTAAAGCGAAACAATTTGGTAAGAGTGTTTGCCATCATGAACACAACTCTATGTTGACGCAGTTTTTTATAAACTGTCAAAGAATATTTATGACAGTAGAAATATACTTATATAATAGCTATGTAAAGGACAGTGATAAGGACAAAATTTTCTTTGTGAAAGTCAAGCTATGTGGAGGTATTTAAGTGACTGATATTTATATGCTTTCAGATCTAGAAAGTTTCTATTTAGATTCTAAGCATTCAGTCTTGCCTCTAAAGAAATCTGCAAACTGCTATAGTTATGTTATTGATATTTAATTTTGGATGATCTCCTTTCAGCTAAAATATAAGAGAAATCTACCTATAAGTGGTGAAATTTATAGGGTTCAAGTTGCGTGTAGTTCCATTGTTCACCTTGTATTATACTTGAGAGTGTGGAAGCACCTAGTCTATATGTTACTAATCTTTTCCATTGTCAGTATTCTTTACTGCAAGTTTGAGTGTCATTTTATAATCATGTTGTCAGGAGAATTAAACTCTTTCCACAACATGGTTCTTATTGTAAAGTAGCTTTTCATTAACTGGTATTGGTGCTGTATAATATTGTTAATTAACCTTTGTTGAGTGTCTTCTCACCATGAACTTAACTACTTTATCTAGAACTTGCAGGGAAAGGTTGATTTCTGTTCAGTGATATGTACTTCCACATTCATTACAAATGGAGTCCTATAGGCAGTTACAACACATATTTGAATTAAACAAAGGAAGTATTTCTCATTGAATTATATAAGTTAATTAACTTATCACAGTATCAGCAGAGTAGTTTTTTTGTTTTTCTGGCTTCATCCTTAGCACATTTTGTCGATAATGCTTTGTTCCCCCCTGACTTGGTTGCAAAGATTTTCAAATTGCAGAATGGATGCATTAGGATCATATTTCATTGGCATTTTTTCTTATTTTTTCTTTGAAACAAAGAGAATCATGTAGCTTTAGGTTCTCTCTAAAGGTGCTTTAGTAGTTCATTTTTGGACATAACAAAGGCTCTTTGGGCTATCACAAAATGCATTCCATATTTGACAGCCTTGTTGAATCTTCAGCATTAAAGTTATTGTAACTTAGCACATCTAATCGGCTGTGGGCCTAACCATGGCAAAAAAGGGTAATTTTTTAAACTTCAAAGAGACAAGAAAGTTATGTATGCACATATATAATGGATAAAAGGCAAAATTCGAAAATGTAATCAATGGGAAAATTTGCAGGTAAAACCTGCTTAGATTTTGCCCAGTATTACACACACAAGGCAAGATGCAGTGTTCAAGAATGATCAACAGATATAGAAAACTATGTGATAACCAAAATAATTGAAGTCTTGCCAGTGAAAGCTGATATATCTCCAGTAGTATTACAATTTACTTTAACAGTTTGTGCTGACCTAGCCTGTTTTGGTTAGGTTACACAGGTTGTCCTCACAACAGAGCATGTTTGCTTGGTGTGTCATGGTACTTGCAACCATCAGGATGTAACTGTGAAGGGACTTATCATGGCCTCCATTTCTGTTATAAGATGTGTTATGACTGGCTTTAACCAAGATTGTGGATTTTCATTTAGCTTGGTGTACAGATATTTTATGCATATTTTCTTTTTGGTTTAATACTCGGGTATTTACATTTCAGGTCAAAACTATAAATAGAAGGTTTTCTGTTTTGAATCTCTTACTTGTTTCATGCTTTTCATCCCTTCAAGATGATCTTACTTTGTATGTGAAAGTATAAGATAGGTGAATGATCAGGATGATTAAGAGGTATAGAAAAATATTTGTAGAAAATACAAATGATTAATTTCACAATGTACATATTTATTTAAAGAAAGGATTAAGTTTCTAAAGGTGCTTTAACCAACAACAAAATAAAGATTTCTCTTGTGATGGCAGGGAGAGTTATATTTACTACTTGACCTATCTGTGACAGGTACAGCAATAGCAGTGTATGTGCATCATGACTCGCTTCAGGGCCGTCTGTACACAGCACAAACTCTGCCAAAAAGACTAAATTGTTGCATAATAATTACCTCACAGAAAATTCTGGCCCCCATCATGATAGGGCTAAATGATGTTTAAATGATGAACGAAGACTTCAAAGGTTCATAACTTATTTCTTCATTTCCATGAATGAAACTACACTACATAATTTAATGTAGTTGTTATATTTTGCCTAATGCTGTTGGGAATATATAATGCTCTTTATAGTAAAAATTTGGTAAATGCAGATACATGCAGATACCCAAACAAATGCAAAACAACCAAGGAGTCATTTTATAAACCTCTGTGACCTTTCTGTGTGTTTTCAAGAAAATGTTTTTTTTTTAGTGCTATTACTCCAATGGTACTGGGTTATTGTAGTGTCTACAACTGTTTCCTTTTGTTTTGTTTTTTTACACATATATGGCTACACAATTGGCGAGCCACCAAGGAGCAAATTAGTAAACCTACATGTCCTCAGCTGATTTCCCCTTTCCTTGCTTTTGGGGGATTTTTTTTCCTTCTTAATGCATTTGATACTGATGTTGACATTATGGTCTTTATAATGGTATGAATAATACTAATAACAGTGAAAAATAAAGAGAATCTTTCTGAAAATCAAGGAAAAGGTACAGGTGAGCCAGGTAGGATTTGTGATAGACTCCTCAGTGGAGCCAAATATGTGTAGACAGCCAAGAAACAAAAAAGCAAAGAACATGGCATGTATTCTTGCCATCCCATCAACCTAGGTAAATGTTGTTGATATTATTATTGATATTGTAACTGTTGCAATATCAATACTAATAGCAATATGAAATCAGATAGAATATTTCCGAAATCAAGTTAAATCAAGGAAAAAGGCAAGCAGTTGAGATAGTGGTAGTACACTTAATTCATCCCTTGGCGACTAAGCACTCGTATAGCCATCTATGGAAATGCAATTAAGAACTGAACTCACAGTGGGCATGGCGTGTAGGTAAAATGCCAGAAGCATAGAGTTAATTGCTTATTATTGTCAGAGACCACTGCCATGCATTACAATGGGTATGTACATTTTTCCCAGTGATGTTTTAGGGAACTTTGTCTTTGCCTTATGAATATACTTATCTTTGTAGATTAATATGATCATAGTAGTTGTTATTCTCATGTTATATATTAAGAATGACCTGAAGAAGGTGCAATTCAGTTTAGATTATTTGATGTCTGAAGAATGGTATATGATATTTTTTCTTTTAAAGAACTTTCTTCCTCTGTGGCACTGTTCTTCTCCCCCTCCTCTCCTTCCTATTGCCACTCCTCCTACTCCTTATGCCTCCTCCTCCTCCTCCTCCTCCCACCCCTTTTTCTCCTCCTCCTCCTCCCCTCCTTTTCTCCTCCTCCTCCTCCTCCTCCTCCCACCCCCTCCTCCTCCTCCTCCTCCTCCTCTTCCTCCTCCCATCCTTTTTCTCCTCCTCCTCCTCCTCCTCCTCCTCCTCCCACCCCTTTTTCTTCCTCCTCCTCCTCCTCCCCCCACCCCCTCCTCCTCCTCCTCTCCTCCTCCTCCTCCTCCTCCCACCCCTCTTTCTCCTCCTCCTCCTCCTCACCCCTCTTTCTCTTTCCTCATGTTATTTATCATCCATTTCACTGTGCTATTATTTGGCTTTCTCAGAAATATATATTTTGACGTCTATTTTTATACATCTGCGGAACGAAAAGATACATTTTATTTTAGGTGATTGTTAAGGAGATAAGATGGTTAATCTCGTTAAGGTATACTGTAAATATAAGATATCTTTTGTGAGACACTGTTTTACAGAAAAATAAAATTCATAAAAAAGAAAAATGGTTTTATTTTTTAATGTGCTTGTTTACTAGTAATCTCTCATCATTTGAATGAATATGGCATGTGATACATGACCCTTATTGTTGATTTTTTAAAAGTGAATTATGAAGACAGTACTGTTATCTGTGTAATGAAATGCAGCATGTTAAGGAACAAATTTTACTGTGGGCATGACAGGATTTTTCTTACATTTAGTTAATATGGGGTGTTAATTTTAAAACTGTCAATCTTAAAAAAAGTAGTGGATCAACTACTTGTACATTGTAACTACACTTTCTTTCCTCTTTCTTTATTCCATCTCCATTTTTTATCAATGAAGTGAAGACAATATACAAAATGTTAAACTATAGACTGAACTAGTTTTAAATATACATTTTTGGAATGGACATTTTGCAGAAGGGGATAGACAATTGCTTTATAAAGAAACATTATTTTTTAGCAAGTTGCTAATGAAGTGATGTCATTACTCTTCACTGTCAAAATGACAACCAAGTTCCTAAGACAACAGTTTGATTTTTAAATTACAAGTAACTGGAATGTAAGGTATAATTTGTTTCTACGAAATTCAAATGAAATGTATACAGATGGATGCAGAATAGCTGTTGTAGCCTCCTGGTGGGCAAGAGTCGCATGCTACCCACTCTCCTCACTCTCTCCCTCTCTCCCCCCACTATCTCCCTCTCTCCCTTCCCCACTCTCTCCCTCTCTCCCCTCTCTCCCCTCCCCACTCTCTCCCTCTCTCCTTCCCCCACTCTCTCCCTCTCTCCTTCCCACTCTCTCCCTCTCTCCCTCCCCACTCTCCCCTTCCCCGCTCTCTCCCTCTCTCCCTCTCTCCCTCCCCCACTCTTCCCTCCCCCACTCTCTCACCCTCTCTCCCTCCCTCCCTCCCCTCTCCCTCCCTCCCCCACTCCCTCTCCCCTCCCCACTCTCTCCCTCCCACTCTCTCCCTCCCCCACTCTCTCCCTCTCCCCCTCCCCCACTCTCCCTCTCTCCCTCCCCCACTCTCTCCCTCTCTCCTCCCTCCCTCCCCACTCTCTCCCTCTCTCCCTTCCCCCACTCGCTCCCTCTCCCCCTCTCCCTCTCTCCCTCCCTCTCTCCCCACTCTCTTCCTCTCTCCCTCTCTCCCTTCCCCACTCTCTCCCTCTCTCCCTCCCCACTCTCTCCCTCCCCCACTCTCTCTCTCTCTCCCTCCCCACTCTCTCCCTCTCTCCTCCCCCACTCTCTCCCTCTCTCTCTCTCCCTCTCTCCTTCCCCCACTCTCTCTCTCCCTCTCTCCCTCTCTCCCTCCCCCACTCTCTCCCTTCCCCGCTCTCTCCCTCTCTCCTCCCCACTCTCTCCCTTTCTCCCTCCCCCACTCTCTCCCTCTCTCCTTCCCCCATTCTCTCCCTCTCTCCCTCCCCCACTCTCTCCCCTCTCCCTCTCTCCCTTTCTCCCTCTCCCACTCTCTCCCTCTCCCTCCCCCCATCCCTCTCTCCCTCCCCCACCTCTCTCACTCTCTCCCTCTCTCCTCCCTCTCTCCCTCTCTCTCCCTCCCTCCCCCCACTCTCCCTCTCCCCCTCCCCCACTCTCTCCCTAGCCCACTCTCTCCCTCTCCCCCTCCCCCACTCCCTCTCTCCCTCCCCACTCTCTCCCTCTCTCCCTCCCTCCCTCCCCCACTCTCTCCCTCTCTCCTTCCCCCACTCTCCCCCTCCTCCCTCCCACTCTCTCCCCTCCCTCTCTCCCTCTCCCTCTCTCCCTCTCTCCCTCCCCCACTCTCTCCCTCTCTCCCTCCCCCACTCTCTCCCTCTCTCCCTCTCCCTCTCTCCCTCTCTCCCTCTCTCCCTCCTCCACACCGCCATCGCTACCATTTGGAAGAGTAAGATGGATGCACCCTATTTTCACTCTAATGTGTGTATACTAACATGTACATATACACGCACACGCACGCTCGCACACATACACACACGCACGCACGCACACATACACACACGCACGCACGCACACATGCACAATTGAGATGATATTCACTTACACACTATCAAGATATCTCCTGGTCTTTGTTGAGCGAATGAGAGACGAGGTAACACATGTTTTCAAGGCTCAAACTTGAAAATAACCACTTCTTTAAATTTTCTTAAGGTGAGGAGAGAGGCCACTTAATCCCGACCTTGGGTCATACTAAGGGCATCTCGGGTCAACGTAGGTACGATGGGCAGACAAGTAAATATTTCAGCAGCACAGACATCTTTTTTCGGTCAATGTGAATAACAAAACGGGATGTTTATATATTTCTGATGATGTTTGTGCTTCTATATTTTTATTTCAAGTGGAGTATGTAAAAATGTAATGTAATGCTTCAGCCTGATGGATTTTTTATTTATTTATTTATTTTTTACTTTTTATTTTTATTTTTATTTATTTATTTACTTTTTTATTTTTATTTTTATTTATTTATTTACTTTTTAAAATTCTTTGAGTTGTATAGATGATAGTAAATGTAATTAGATCATGTTTGAATAAAACAGCATATAAAAAATAGTGCGATGATAGTGTTTCCTCTTTCTCTTATTTTTTCCTCTCTCTCTCATCTTTTTCTTCGCCTTCTTCGTTCTTTTGACGGAATAACTTTATTTTAAAAGCAATTTCAATCGAGACAACATTCAGGTGAAAGGATCATCACCTAACCTAACCTAAACTAAGGGACGGACAGACAGTTAATACTTGCCCGCCCATCGTACCTACTCTGACCTCATATGACCTTAGTATGGGTTGGGTCATGTAATACAGGCGCACCTAAGAAACCAGACTGATGCGAGTGCCATTCTGCCTGAAGCATTATAGCATTCATTGCCCAATCAAAAATGCGTTCGGGTATAATTTGGAAACAATGAGCAAAAGAGTATTTGACATCATGATTGATAAGGGCCGATATGATCTAAATTTTAAAAAGCATTTTAAGAGTAACAGAAGTGTAATAACGACTGTATTTTGATAAATACGTTATTAAGAGAAACTGTAATTATATGATTATTGTCATATCTGTTTGTCCATATATCTTGTCATTTACATACATACATACCTGCATACACATACAACACACAACACACACACACAAACATATATATATAATATATATATATATATATATATATATATATTAATATATATATTATGTTGTCTACTATATACAGAATGCACACACACACCACACACACACACACACACACACACACACACACACACACACACACACACAACACACACACAACACACACACACACACACACACACACACACACACACACTATATATATATAATATATATATATATATTAATATATATATTATATATATCATTATTGTAATTATCATTATCATTATCATTATTACCATTATCATTATTATTATCATTACATTATTGCTTACCATTTATCATTTACTATTTGTTATCATTTGTTTGATTATTATCATTATCCTTGTTATTTGTTTAATTATTATTGTTTTCATTATCATTATTACTACTATCATTATCGTCATTCTACTATTTTTTCTATCATCATTATTACTATCATTATCATCATTGTTATTACTATCATTGCAAGTAGTAGCTACAGAAGTACAGGTATAACACTGTAGCTGCTGGACATATTAGTCAGTATCATTATTATATTGTCAAGTTGATATTTGTCAATATCATTAGTTAAGAAACAAGTTACTAAAAAGAGTCAAGTTGTCACAGTCGAATAAGGTAACCATAACGTAACAGTTTCTTCCCATAACAAACATGCAGGAACGGGGAATCAGGACAGGTGGGAGGATTACCTGTCCAGGGGGCGGGCAAGTGATTAAGACTTGCCCGCCCATTGTACCTACTTTGACCTCAGATGACCTTCATTAGTTTCGGATAACTATTTTTTCTCATACGAATAGACACTTCAATGTGAATGGTAGTTAGAGTAAATAAACTTCCAGGCTTCTTCACTTATATTGCCTTTTTATCAAAGAATTATATTAAAATGGTATGTTCTTAAATGAAAAAAAACTGTAGATATCTTTAACAGCGGATGTATCTTTTACAATACAATTACATATACAGGACAATGATCAGGTGCTCTATAATTTGTGTGTACTAAAATGCAATATTTCCGATATCGCGGAAAGTATTCTGAATCTCTTTAGCATTATTTGCTTAGACATAAAATACATGAGTACTTAGAGATAAATTACATGCGTGCGTTATAAAACATTTTATGATATGAAGCATTCACCTACATGTCGTCTAATCATTAAGTTTAAATCCCTTCAGTCTATTCATATTCTTATCTCTGAATAGGCGACTATCTCAGTGGAATACATTTCTGATTTCCGGTCTAACTAGCCAGTTTATTCATCCGTATCCATTACACACTCAACCCTTTTGGTTCATACAGAGATACAGGAACGATGAATTACAGCAGGTGAGAGGATTACCTGTCCAGGGGGCGGGCAAGTGATTACGACTTGCCCGCCCATCGTACCTACTTTGACCTCAGCTGACCTCCATTAGTTTTGGGTAATTTTCTTATCTCATAT